CAGTCAGTGCTCTCAACCACTGAGCCATTTCTCCAGCCCCCTGAAGACACTCTTCTAATAGCCACTGTGCAATACCACAGAAACGGGGCGGATGAACGTGCCAGCGAGCATGAGGGTAAGCAGTCAAAAGGGAAGGTTTCTTTCTTCTATGTCCATTGCTTTGGATTTGCACCGGAAGGTGCCACCCACATTTAAGGTAGGTCTTCCTCCTTCAAACCATCTAATCGAGAATTGCCCTCACGGGTGGACCCAGTGCTCACATTTTAGTTGATTCCAGACCCAGTCAAGTGGAGAACCGAGCTTAGCCAATTCATGACCTGATTCTATCCACTGTTTCAAAGCTGAATTGAGAGGCAGGGGAGAGAGGGTAGGGAAGGGGAGCACTGAGCCGAAGGGATGTGCACACACGTGTCCATGCACACTGTGACCCTTGTCTGCCTTTCCACAATCTGCTAATAAATGTGTTAACCTAAAAGAAGTATCTGTGCAGACACTCGTGCATATACACAAACACACACAAATACTGCACAGACTTAAAAACAAAAATGTCTGAAGACATTAACTGCTAAAATCAGAAGAAAAAAACGTCAGACCACAAACCCCAGAGTAGTAGAAACAACATTCTGTTATTCTCTTTTTATTTATATTTATTTATTTATTGTTTTTTCGAGACAGGATCTCTGTAGCTTTGGAGCCTGTCCTGGAACTAGCTCTTGTAGACCAGGCCGGCCTCAAACTCACAGAGATCCTCTTGCCTCTGCCTCCCAAGCGCTGGGATTAAAGACGTGCGCCACCACTGCCCAGCTTCTGTTATTCTCTTAATACAAACTTCAAGATTTCCTGTGGCCCCAATCAGGCTTGACTAGCAGAAAGTTCAACCCATCTTTGTCCAGACTTGAAGGACCCAGCACCTTGTGTGGCACAGGGCACTGCCAAGCTCCCTGTATTCCTGTCCTCAGGGTTTCCCCCAAGAACATACTTGCCCTTCATGGGTATGGCAGCCTCTGGGGTCCTGCCCACCCAGGGGCACTGAGGGAGACAGCCAGCAGCACTCGTGGGACTCACACCTCCCTTGGCTTGTCATGTGGCCCCTCTGTCTCAGAGACATTTCTTTCTCCTGTCTGTCTCCTTCTCTGCTCCCCCACAAACACAAGGTAGGGCTACTCACTTATAAAAGAAGGAGGAAGAAAGAAAGGAAGGGAGAGACGGAGGAATACTCCACAGAGCAGGGGGGAATCCAGTGTTTTACCCTCAAACCACAAAGTTACATATACCTGTACTTAGCAGACGGTGTGAGCTTGAGTGTGGGTGTTGGGACTGCACGCACGCGCGCGCACACACACACACACACACACACACACACACACACCGCCACTGCCTTGGCCGACCTCTTCCCTCTGTCACCTACTTCTGCACTGCCTAGGGCATTTTGTTAAGAATGACACCCAGCGTTAGGCCTAAGGCCTCCAGGTAGTGAGCCTGCTGTTTCCCCTAACAGGCCTTTGTCAGCCCAGGAGGACAGTCAGGCCAGGGAGTATCTGCTAACAGCCTCCTCTCCTGGGGCAGAAGATCGTGTGTGGGACAGGTTTGGTGGTCTAACGGTGGGGTGAGGGAAAGGAAGAGAATATTTGGGGACTATGGGGAGCTACAGAGCCTGGCGAACGGGGGTCAAGAAGAAGCCTGTAGGTGTGGCCCTGGCCTGGACACTCTAAGAAAGTTTGCTGGCTAATGTGTTACCTGGGTCCTGCCACCCACAGGGTTCAGGAGGAAGAGGAGGGGCCAGAGAGAGAGGATTCGGTTCTTAATGTCCACAGCCATCCTTTCTAAACAAGGCCCCACGTCTTCATCCTTCCCGGCACGTCTCACTGTTGTTCTAGCTAAGGGTGGAGACAGGACTTTGTCGCGTCAGTTCCTCTGCTCATCTCTCCAAAGTCATCATTTTAATAATGGACATTAAGGAAATGTCTCCCAAATTATGATCCAGGGATCACCCCCTTAGTGCTGTCTAAGGAGTTCATGCGAAGTGCAGATTTCCCAGAATCCCTGGGGTGAGGCTGAAAACCCAGTATCTGACACCAACTGCCCAGCCCAGGCAGTCTGACATGCACTGCCCCTGAAGGACTACAGGAAGCTCGAACCTCTGGTGTATCCATTGCGTGTCTGCTGCTAGGTGTCTCAGTGTGTATGCAAGAATGTATCCCTGTGTGTTGGGACCATTTGGAGTCCTGGCCCCCAGCTGCTCTTCCCTGCTAGAGATCTTTACTTTCCTTCTGATTTGAGTTACTGAAAGCTGTGTCAAAGTTGTTGACCAGCTCTGCTTCATGAGCACGTGTTTGTTGCCTTGGCCTTGAGGATCAGAGGATAATGTTTTCACCTGTTGGCCCACTTGACGGTTGGGTATATAAGCCTCTATGGCGCTTCATACCAGTGACTAGGGGTCCGTGTCTCTGTCCCTCTGTCCGTGTGTGTTTGTGTTTCAACCTCCAGCCCCTAGCCCAAAACTCGGGAACTGTATGGTAGCGCATAATGCGCAGCCGGTTGTGGCGTGCGCTGCACGTGTGTCCGTGTGTTTCTAATGTGTCTGTGTGCATTTGGCTACATGGATGTCAGTGTCCATCTGGACTGTCAATCTATATATGTTCTTGGTGTCAGGCCTCTTCCCGTCCTCTGCTTCGGTGACCTCTGGAAGCTCTGCCTGAGGCAGCTCTCCTAGCTGCTGCTCCCTGCTTGGAGGTCGCAATGAGAATGTCAGCTGACAAACAGCGGTGGGAGGTGGCTCCTAGGCATTAGGCAATAGGCCTAGCCGGAGATCAAGAGCTCACTGTCCACCGGCTTCTCCCCCGGGACTGTGTCCTGCTAACACCCAGGCTCAGGCAGCAGTGTTGCTCAGAAAGCTGCCGAAGCAGTGAAGAAGATCTCCCATAAGATCAGACTCCTCGCTTCCCATTGGCTTCCTGGGCTCTAGAGAACCAGGTGTGTGGACTTTACCGTCTCACTGTATGTGGCTTTCCCCTTGCCAAACCCAGAGTGACACCGAAGAGCCAGGCAAGGGCTTCGCCTCCAGTTCAGCTCCTGTGTTCACTAAACCAATATTTGTTTAGTACTGATTGGTGCCAGGCTCCGTGGGCACTCTCGGCATCGTAATGACACGCTCATGTCAGGGTCGCAAGGAGCAGGAGCTGAACTGAATGCTTGCACGCGTCAACTCACTTGAGTCCATGACCAATCATGGCAGCAGGAACTGTTATTACACTGGGGGGATATGTGACTTCCCATGGTCCAGGAGGGAGGGAGTGGCAGGGCTGGCACGAAGCCCAGACCCATAGTTCAGGGCCCCAGCCTCACACCTGCTCCATGAGCAAGGCTCGTGGTAGGTCACTGCCAATAACCTGCCAAACATTCATTGAGCGACCAAGTGTGGGAGGCAGGATTTGAACCTGCAACTGTGTAATGCCAGGGGCCCACTCAGTTTCTGTTGTGCTGCTGAAATGAGCTGTGTGTAGAAGGAGGTGACGAAAGGCAGCTGTGGATCCTGCTGGCCTCAGGAGAGGCAGGGAGGAACACAGGGAGCTGGGTATCTGCTGTAGGGGTGGCTACAAAGTCTGGTAGACAGTATGCTTTAAGTGGCAGGATGTTACTGCTTTTCGTAGTTCTGGAAGCTGAAAGTATGAGACCAAGAGGTCAGGAGGTTGTTTCTTCTGAGGCCTCCTTGCTGTAAATGGCTGTCTTTATACCCTCTCCCCTCTGTAAGCCTGGCCCCAAACTTTTCTTATAACACCAGTCATATTGGATCAGATCCAACTCCAATGACCCCCTCTTAACCCCCTCTTTAAAGACTGTCTCCAAGCACAGCCGTCTCGTGCGGTATATGTGTGCCAATAGGACACAGTCCGGCTCCACAGAAAGAGTCCCATAACTTCGACAACATGAAGCAACAGGAGAGAAGACACTAGCAATTGGACGTGCGGAATGTTGCAACGGCCAGGGTGGCAAGGGGTGGCAAGTATTGAAGAAGATTTTGCTTTTTCGTGGAAATGACCTTTGCTACGAATGCTGCTGTGTGGGAGAATCACAGACCCAACGATGCCCAGAATTTAGATATTTATGATAATATTGTGGCACCCTAGAACACTCAACATTAAGCAAGCAAGCTATCCAGCATAGAACCCCTGTTCCATTATTCAGATAAAGACAAAATGATTGTCCGCTTCTTTCCTCCACTCTGGTGAGTCCTCATGGTCCCTCTTATTTGAATCTGGCTCTAGCAACCAGAAAGTAGGATTCTTTCACCAGGACAAGCTGGTGACCTGGTGCTTTTATTCCAAAAATAAGTTTATTTTCCAGTCTGATCCAGCCCAAAAGAACAGGATTTGTGCTATCGAATGTTTTAAGATGGGTTACATTCGCTTATGCTGTGGAATATTTGTTTCACGATGCAAAGACGCGCTGCATTCTTTTATGTTGTATTTAACATAAAGCTGTAAAGCTGTTACTTTTCCTGCCTAAAACACCTGGCTGGTCTAATAAAGAACTGAACGGCCAAGAGCTAGGCAGGAAAGAGGGATAGGTGGGGCTGCCAAGGCAGCGAGAATAAATAGGAAGAAAAATCTAGGCTCAAGAGAAGAGCAAGGAGCAAGAAAAGGGGAAGGAGAGGAAGATGGCACCCGTCAGCCACCCAGCTGCACAGTCAGCCGTGGAGTAAGAAGGAAAGATAAATAGAATAAAGAAAAGTAAAAAGCCCAGAGGTGCCAGACAGTGGTGGCACACACCTTTAATCTCAGCTTTTGGAGGCAGAGACAGGTGGATCTCTGTGAGTTTGAGGCCAGCCTGGTCTACCAGGTGAGTTTCAGGACAGGCTCCAAAACTACAAAGAATCCAGGCAGGGAGAAACCAGAGGCAAAACACAGTTAAAGAGAAACAGGATAATTTAAGTTAAGAAAAGCTGGCTAGAAACAAGCCAAGCCAAGTCCAGGCATTCATTAGTAATAATAAGTCACCACGTGCTCACTTCGACAGCACATCTGCTAGAACTGGAATGTTACAGAGAAGATTAGCGTGGCCCCTGTGCAAGGATGACATGTGAATTCCTGAAGAATTACATATTTTTCGAGAGAAAAAACATCCTGAGTGAGGTAACTGTCAGGGATCACCCTCAACAAACATACCTCTTGCCAAGGTGGAGGCTGGGGATCAGAAGAATAAGTAAATAATACAAGGACATGAATAAAATGATAAAACAGAAACATAGGAGAGTACCGGGAGGGAGTTCCAGTGACTGCTGAAATCGCCCGTGTTTAATTTCCAATTGCTTAAAATACCCCTTAAGCCAAAAAGATTTTTTAAAAAAAATCTGCATTAACGTATACAAGGAAATGAACATACCAAGTGAAGGTTGAGGGTTATATTCTTAAGTAAACATTTTGTTGCTAGAACAAGACAAGTAATGCTCACACCCTAGACCAAAATGTTCCGTTGGCAAACCACTCCCTGAGTGGAATCTATTATTATCCCCTTAAAGGAGAAGGAACTTAGTTGGATCCTTAGACTTTTGTTTGGAGTAGAAACATATATACTTCTCTCCTCCTGAAATACAAGGTCTGGATATTCTTGTTGACACCTTCTGTCAATAACCTTGAGACTGCAGAACTCTCTGGTCTAAATCTAGGTGGGACCTTTGAGGTAGAAACAGACAATAACTTGAAGAAGTAGAGATAGGTTTCAACTCTCTGACCTTTGGCCAAGGAGGAAATAGGCTCACAATTTTGGGGGCCTTCACAGGTAACCCAGACTCAGGAAGACAAACACGGTATGTATTCACTCATAAGTGGATATTACGTGCAAAGCAAAGGATGACCAGATGGTAATCCACAGCTTCAGAGAAGCTGGAACCTTCATCCGGTAACCGAGGGAACCAGATGAAGAGATCTGCCACCAAGCATTGGACCGAGCTCCAGGAACCCAACTGAAGAGAGGGAGGAGGTAATAAATGAGCAAGGAAGGTCAAGATCATAATGGAGAAATCTATAGAGACAGCTGAACAAGCTCGTGGAAACTCATGAACTCTAGGCCCACAGTTGTGGAGCCTCCAAGGGATCAAACTAGGCCCTCCACATGTGGAAGACAGTGGTGAAGCTTGGACTATCTGAGGGGCCCCTGGTAGTAGGACCAGGATCTACCCCTGATGCATGAGCTAGCTTGTTGGAGCCCATTCCCTATGGTAGGATGCCATGCTCAGCCTTAATGTGGGGGTGGGGGGTGGGGGCTTGGTCCTGCCCTAACTTAATGTGCCACACTTTGTTGACTCCCTATGGGAACCCTGACCCTTGGGAAGAGGAGTGGGAGGGAGAACTGTGGTTGGAATGTAAAATAAAGAAAAAAAAATTAAGTCACCGTGTATGTATTTGGGAGCTGTGTGATGGGCCCCCAAAGAGCAGAAAGAAAAAAAAAAAACAAAAAAACAAAAACAAAAAAAAACTACAGATTTGAGCCGGGACCTGACCAGTTGAATCTCAGAAGCACTACCATTCACCATCAGCATGGGATCTGCTTGGGCCACCTCCTGGTCTCTGTCTAGACCTTCATAATAATAGTATTTGACCTTCCTCCGCCATGGGTTTTTATAAGAGGCAAATGGAACAGCTTCTGAATTTGGTTTCGTTCTATTTACAGCTGAAGTCAGTCTTTGTAAGAAATCCGTAAAGGTTTCTTGTGGGCCCTGTATAACTTTAGTAAATGACTCAATTTTCTTTCCTACTTCTCTAATTCTGTCTCAAGCATTCAAAGCTACTGTGCAGCAGAAATCCAGGATGTGGTCACCATATAAGCTTGCCTTTCTGTAGTAGCATAATCTCTTTCTCCAAGAATTTGATCTTGGGAGATTTTCCTACCTCTAGCTTTACTCCATTATTCAATAATCTTAGCCTCTTCTCTGAACCAGGTACTTTTTTGTAATTGTGGATCAGGTTCTAAAACACCTTTAACCAATTCTATCCTGTCTTTAGGGATAATTCTATTACAAACTGACCATGAGTTTAACATTTGCTTCACAAAAGGTGAATGCATGCCATATGAGACGATTGCATCCTTGAATCTCCTGAAATCTAACATTGGAACAGGAGCCCAGTTAGCTGTAACAGAGCCTCTGCCATTTGGCAATTCCTGTAAGATTACTGGATATATTAAAGTTGGTTGTCTGAAAACCTTAGGCTGTTCCTCTCTATTCTTATAATGCAATGCTGAAACTGGTTCTCCATTAAATTCCTCTCTCTGGATTTGAATATCTCTGTGATCTGTTTTATTAGGTTTTTCTAAGGCCTGTATATTAGCACTCAGATTAGCCAACTCTTTTAGTGATCAGACAAAAATGATAAAGCTTATTTACAATTGACATTACATAAATCCCATCTAAATTAGATGCCCTCTCACTTAATTGTTCCATTTTCAAGGTGTCTAGCATATTATCATACAGAGATCCAAATCCCTTCATTGTAATGGTTTTTCTTATTTTTAATGTAGGAAAGAAACCCTCTTTTTAAACTAATTCCTCCCTTTAAGAACTCCCCATTGTTTTATGAAATCTCCTGACGATGTTGATGAAGATGTGAGACTGATTGCTGCTGCGTAGAACAGGAGAGGCCTGACTGGATTTCAAGGCAGCGACCTAGTTTGACAGCAGCCTGAGAAGGGGGTTCAGGGAAAACCTACAACCCATGGTCCACGGTGGAGACAGGGGGAAGGGAGCTGTCTGAAAAATGTCTAGGGATTTTTCGGGAAAAGTACAGGTGGTGGAGGTGCTGTCTGAAGGCAGAACCAGCCAGTCTAGGGAGGGTGAGTCCTGTGGCATTTGAGGCTCAGGGGCTTCTGGAGTTTGGGTGGCAGCTGGAGACTGTTTCAGATAGGCTACAACAGGAAAATCCCAAATTTGCTCGGAAGCTTGGGGAAAAAGAAAAGAAAGCCTGCTGGATGGGACTGGAGCCGCACGTCTGGCTCAGGCCTGTGCTGGTGGCTAGAGAGCCACAGGCAAATGGCTTTTTCGTGAATTTGTACACCAAACATTCTTCACCGAATGTAGCACAGTTAATAAAAGCCCAGAGACAGATAATGGGGTTCATCCTGAAGATCAGAAAAGCAAAGCAGCCAAGCCACTAGAGAGCTCTTAGCTCTATGAAATCTTCAGACTGAAAGGAAGTAAGTTCCTTTTTCCTCCTGCTCTCTATTCCTCTCTAGGGCTGGGATTAAAGGCGTGCACCAACACCGCCTGGCCTCTATGGCTAACTAGTGTGGCTGCTGGGATTAATGTGTGCTACCACTGCCTGGCCTTTATGACTGTGACTAGTGTGGCTGTTTTGTGTTCTGGCCTTCAGGCAAACTTTGTTTATTAAAATACAAATGAAGTGTCACTATAGGAGTGGGCTACCACAGAGACAACTATTGAGCCAGCATCTCTGAAACACATGGCCAGGGCTTGGTGGCCAAAGATAAGCCAGATATGTCCCATTGATTCAAGAAATCCACCGGGAAGCAGGCTTGGTGAGAAATAATACTTATTTGCCGCAGGATTTATCTCTGGAATCAAGGCAAAGCTGAAAACTACGATAGGTGATCAAAGCAGCCGAGTCCCAAGTGTGACTCTGGGGAGAGCTTTAAAGTTAGTTTCGGAGATGATCCCTAAAGCTAGTGTGAGCATCTGAGAACTGGGGTGTTACCTCCTGAGACACCGCTCTGGAGGGAAAAGTAAACTGCCCTTTGCTGTGCAAGTTCTAGCTTGTTTGTTTGTTTTTGTTTTCAGAACATACGAAAGCCAGAAGTCCAGTCAAAGAGAGGGTGGAGGGATTACATGAGCAAGTGGGGTCAAGACCATGACGGGGAAACCCACAGAGACAGCTGACCCAAAGTCATGGGAGCTCATGAACTCTAGACCAACAGGTAGAGAGTTGGCATAGGACCAAACTAGGCCCTCTGTATGTGGGAGGCAGTTGTGTGGCTTGGTCTGTTTGTGGGACCCCTGGGAAAAGAACCAGGATCCACCCATGGGTCATGAGCTGGCTTTTGGAGCCCATTCCCTATGGTGGCATGCAGACTCGATGCAAGGAGGGCAGGCTTGGTCAGCTTAATGTGCCAGGCTTTGTTGACTCCCCATGGGAGGCCTTACTTTTTCTGAGTAGTGAATGAAGGGTGGGTTGGAGGGGAGGTGGTGGGGGGAGCAGGAGGACGAGAGGGTGGGGGAACTGTGGTTGGTATTTAAAATGAATAAGAAAATTTAAATAAAATTTAAAAAGAGCATACACAAGCAAAAAAAAAAAAATCCCATGACTAAATACTTGACTGATGGAATTTTACTCTAAAGTTGCCCAAGCCTTCCTAGATTGTGAATCATTTTTTGTATTTATTTTTATTTATTTATTTATTTATTTATTGGTTTTTCAAGACAGGATTTCTCTGTAGTTTTAGAGCCTGTCCTAGAACTAACTCTTGTAGACCAGGCTGTCCTCGAACTCACAGAGATCCACCTGCCTCTGCCTCCTGAGTGCTGGGATTAAAGGTGTACGCCACCACTGCCCGCAAGTATGAATATTAAATTTTTTCATGGCATCTGCCTCCCATTTACCTTTGCGCTCCCTCCCACCCCTACTTTCCAGTACTGCTGGTCTCCTCAGAACATTGTCTCTCTATGATATTCAGCTTAGACACCCGTTTGCTGACCACAGCTACTTCAGAAGCCTCTTGGGGACATTTTGACCAGGATCTCCGGTAGCATTGATTTTTAGGTACCCTACTTACTTATAAACATAAAGCAGCTTTGCATTCAAACCTCCTCTTATATCACAGCTTCTGGACTTGGTCTCCCTATTGCAAGGAGCTCAACGGTTTCTTTTTAGGGCACTCTCTCAGTTACAAGTTGGGGAGCAGAGACCACAATGTCCAGTTCCACCTGTCCCCATCTTGGCTCTGAGCTGAAGTGCTTTGGAATTCTCTCTATTCCAGCTGATTCCTGAGCATCTGGCTACCAGCAGATGGCCCCACCAGACAAAAGAGACCCTATGAACAAGAGCCAGGACTTTAAGGCCAGGACAGGATTTTTTGTTTTTGTTTGGTTTTGGTCTTTGA